GACACAACACCTTTATTTATTTTTATGTGGTGCTGTGGATTGAACCCAGGGCCTCGCACTTGCTAGGCAAGCGCTCTACCGCTGAGCCATAACCTCAGCCCATGGGAAGAACTTTCTATACACACTGAAGACTGTGGCAATTCTTCAAAAGTTTTTGAAGAAAAGAACAAAATATTCAGAGCTGTCCTTTCCCTCTTCCACCACTGAGCTACATCCCTAGCCTCTTTTTTTATTTTTACTTTTTAATTTTTGAGTCAGGGTCTTGCTAGGCTGGCCTTGAACTTTCTGTCCTACCACAGCCTCTGGAGAAGCTGGGATTACAGGCATGTACCCCAGTGCCCAGCAGAGTTATGCTTTGTAGAAAGATTAATCTGCCTGACAACACATAGCATTCAGGCTCTTTTGGAAAGAAGAGACTAGAATCAAGGACACTTTTCCTTGTTCTACCCTAATAAAAAGGGAAAGGTGGTCAGGTCCTGGTATAGCATAGGCAGAGAAAAGAATGGAGCAGATTTTTAAATTTATTATTAGGTTTCTGAGAAAAAAATGTCAATTTTTTTCTTGTTGTTAAAGATAAAGACAGTAAAATTTATTTTTCTAAAAACTTCATTAAATTTATTATCATGTTTTCCCCGGTTTATTCACAAGTTCTTTTCTTGTGCTACTCTGTCCACACACACTCTAATGACATTAGACTAAATTAGGTGGTCTAAAATATGTCAGATAAATTGCCTTTCATACATTTAGTCCATTAGGAATTTTTCTGTCCAGGAAAATGTATTATGCATTATTTATCAATAAAAGACTTTTAAAAATACATAAGTGGATATTAGCGAAAACCATATATTACAGAAGACCAATGGGATAGAGATTGCTGTTTTTGTCATTAGCAACAACAGGGGACTTTTTCTCCATTTAGCAAGCCACTGCAGAACCATTTAATCTGACATCATGTGTGGAAGCATAACAGACCAATTATTCTTAGTACAAGATCCTAAAAGCAAGCATGAAGCTAATAAAGAAGTATGAGAAGTCATTTACAGAAGAGTTAAAAGCAGATTACCAGGCTGTTTGGCAGAAAATTCATTTCTTTGGATTTAGAATCTGAAGACAGTTTCTCAAGTTCTGTCTTTGACACTGGCTGCTCAGTAGAATAGGCTGAAAGGATTCAGTGACAGGGATGGCACTGGTGGCTTGGTGAGTGTTGCTTTGGACGAGAAATTGGTAAAGGAGGGGATTAAGAAGTGAATGATGGGGCTGGGGCTGGGGCTCAGTGGTAGAGCACTCACCTGGCACGCTTGAGGCACTGGGTTCAATCCTCAGCACCACATAAAAATAAAATAGAGGTATTGTGTCCACCTACAATTAAAAAAAGAAGAAGAGGAAGAGGAGGAGGAGGAGAGTGGTAAAGAAATGACCTTTCCAAGTTAGATGATTCTTTGATGGAATTTCAAAATGTTCTTGGCAATTTTTCACTCTTAAATTGAAGAATATTTATTTATTTTGCAAAAGTGAAAAAGGACTTTATGTGGGGTCTTAGGAATTGCAGTTTGGGAAATGCAGGTTTACTTAGCTATAAATCAGTGTTTCAAAGAAATTAAAGAATAACATTCTTTTTGGGGGTTGTGTGCCGGGGATTGAACTCAGGTACTGGGGGATTACACTCAACCACGGAGCCACATCCCCAGCCCTATTTTGTATTTTACTTAGAGATAGGATCTCATTGAGTTGTCATTGCTGAAGCTGACTTTGAACTCGTGATCCTCCTGCCTCAGTCTCCCTAGCTGCTAGGATTATAGGCGTGTGCCACTGCACCCAGCAAGAATAACATTGTTTAAAGAAGAAATTAAAAAATATTTATTTCAAAGTGAATATTCATATTTTTAACTTATCCCAATAGTATTTCTTATTACTGATCTTATGTGTCATAAATATGTATGAACACATTCAAGTTCAAAGATCCTAGAATGATGGTAGAGTAGAGGTTGAGATATTCAGCCTTCTAAAAGGTTGAAATCCCATTAATGCCAATGTAGCCTAAGTATGAATTCAATAATTGTTAACATTTTGTTATATTTGTTTTATCTATCTATATATAAAATTTTTTTTCTAAACCATTTGAAAGCATGTTCTACATATCTTGAAACTATCCCAAATACTTCAACGTATATCCTCTAACACATTTAATAAAGATTAACAAGTCTACTGTCCCTTCTTTTTTGTGTGTGTGGTGCTAAGGATTGAACTCGGAGCCTCACACATGCTGAGTTCATGTTCTACTGCTGAGCTATATCCCTCGATCACATATCTTCTTAATCATAATTCTTCAGTTGTAAAAAATACATTTTTTGAGACAGAAAATTTTATATCCTCAATTCAAAATCAAGCCAAAGTTTTTACATTGCATTGTCTTAACTCAGCAGTCTCTCTCTTTAATTTTTGTTTTTATATTTTATTTTTTTGTAGTGCTAGGGATGGAACCCAGGGCCTCATTCATGCTAAGCAAATATTCTACTACTGTGCTGCCTCCCCAGCTCTCAGTAGTCTCTTAATTTACAACATTATTCCTGTCTTTTTATCCCCCTACAAGACTGACCTGGGTCCAAGTCAGTTATCTTAAATAGCCTATATTCTGGATTTTTAAAATTATTTTTTTCATGGTGTAACTTTCCTTCCTAATCATTTCAGATAACTTTTATCACAAAGGATGGAGTTGGGAAAAGGAAAACTGCTCAGGACTGGACTGAATGTGTTGTATCAAGCAATACACCCAAACCATGGCCTTGCCTGGACGGATGGGAATCAAGTATTTCTGACTGATTTACAGCTTCACAATGGAGAAGCCAAGTTTGGGAACTCCAGAGTCATTGGACAATTTGAACATGTCTGTGGGTTATCGTGGGCCCAGTCAGCAACGACTGACATGCCTACTCTACTTGCTATCCAGCACAAGAAGCATGTCACTGTGTGGCAGCTGTGTCCCAGCACTGTGGGGTCAAGCAAATGGTTGGTGTCTCAGACCTCTGAAATTAGAGAATCACTTCCTCTCCTTCCCCAGGGCTGTGTGTGGCACCCCAAAAATGCTGTCCTGACTGTGATGACTTCACAGAATGTCTCTGTTTTCCCTGATGTTCACTGTGACAGTTCCCGGATAAAAGTGGACATCAACACTCAGGGCCGCATTCACTGTGGATGCTGGACCCAGGATGGCCAGAGGCTAGTGGTTGCAGTAGGCAGCAGCCTTCATTCTTTTGTTTGGGATAGTCCTCAGAAGATTCTTCACAGGTCCTCCTTGTGTCCAGTGTTTGATGTGGACAGCTACATCTGTTCCATGAGAGCCACTGTGGATTCACAGGTTGCTATAGCTACAGAGCTTCCACTAGATAAGATTTGCAGCTTAAATGCATTGGAAACCTTTGATGTTCCACTTAGCGGTGAAGATACTCATCTGCCTACTTTTCCAGTTATTGATGAAATGCCTTCTGTGGATAAGGGGGAAATTGCTTCTGAATCAAATTCTGAAATATCAGTTTCTCCTTCCTTTTCAGAGCCCTTGGATCTAACTCATATACATTTCAACCAAGCTAGGTCTGAGGGGAGTTCTCTTATTTGCTTAAGACAAAAGAACTACTTGACAGGAACTGGCCAGGATTCTTCACATTTGGTTCTTGTGACTTTTAAGGAAGCAGTTACCATGACCAGAAAAGTGACTGTTCCAGGCATTTTGGTTCCTGATTTAATAGCATTTAATCTTAAAGCACAGGTAGTGGCAGTGGCTTCCAACACTTGTAATATAATTTTGATCTACTCTATCATTTCATCTTCTATGCCAAACATCCAGCAAATTCATTTAGAAAGTAATGAAAGACCCAAAGGCATATGTTTTTTGGCAGACAAATTATTAATTTTGGTAGGAAAACAAAAGTCCACTGATTCAGCATTTCTTCCTTCTTCAGAGTCTGATCAGTATATCCTTCATCTGATTGTTAGAGAAGTATTGTTGAAAGAAGAATCTTCAGCCACATCTAACAAAAGCCAGAGTGCTCCTTCTATTTGCAGTGCTCTGTTAAATAGGAAAAAGTTGATTAGAAGTCTTTCCCCAGATTTTTGCCACCAAAACAGAGGGCTTTTATTAACAGCTAATACTAATAGTCAGAATAAAAGGCCTGGAAGGCCCCTTATTAAAGAAATCAAAAGTCTCCCATCCAGTATCACTGATGATTCCATTGCCTTGGAAACACTCTCAAGGCCCAGCAGAACACCAGATCACTCCAGCACACCAAAACCTCCTGATGTGTTTCAAAAAGAGAACTTACAAAAGGAAAAGGAAACTTACCAGCTACCTAAGGAACTGGGAATTTTGTCTAGAAACCTGATTGAATTGCAACAGTGTCTTTCTGAACTCATGGATTTTGTACATAATGGGAAGAAATCCTCTCCAGTGTATCCACTCTCTAAGGATCTCCCTTATGTTCACATCATTTACCAGGTAATTGCCCCTTTGAGGAGCTACCACTTTACATTAAAGCTGCTGCATCCAGTGCAAGAAGTTTTAATGAAAAAGAGGTACTCTAACTGAACTTCACTAACCTGGGCATGTATATTACAAGCAAGGTGATAAACCTTTGCAGGTTAGCTTACCAAACAGATAGGCACACATAACCAATATATGTTGTGATTTTTATCTTGTGTTTGGTGTGAAAAAATGAATGACTACACTTTGGCAATTTATATGTAGGAAAAAAATTGTTATTGTGTTAGGAAAACCTTTTCCTTTTACAGTAGAGACATTCAGATATTCAAAAACATGGGATGGGTATAGAGTAGCTTGCCTTGCATGTACAAGGCCCTGGGTTCAATCCACAGCACCACCAAAAAATAAAAAATAAAATGTTTTGGATGCATCTCTATGTATACATATGCAAGTACATATTATTATTTAGGTGGGATTATATCATACATGTGGGTACTTTATTGTGGATACTTCTTTCCACATTGAATATGGCCCCAACCCATCCTCCCCATAATCCACTTTCACCAGCAGCTTAATGTGTATCCTTCCATGTTTTTCTTCATACTCATATAATCTAACACAGATCTTGTATACATAGATATATACTGTATGTGTGCAAGGGGTGGTTTGTCATTGTTTTGCAAAAATAGTCATATGGTGCACTCCATGCTGAGTATGCTATTTTTTTTAAAACATGTACACAGAATTTTTCTGAAGAGTATATATAGATAACACCTCAACCTCATTAGCCATTAGAGAAATGCAAATTAAAATCAGAGTGGACTATCACTACACTTCGAGTTAGTTTTCTGAGACAAAAGAATTTATTTGTTGCTTAGCAATATAGAGTTTTGTCATTGAGTAAGTACAATAGCCTATCTTGGTGGAAATTCAGTGTTTTTTGTTTTTTGTTTTTTTTAAAGAGAGAGGAAGAGAGAGAGAGAGGATTTTTTAATATTTATTTTTTAGTATTTGGCGGGCACAACATCTTTGTCTGTATGTGGTGCTGAGGATTGAACCTGGACCACAGGCATGCCAGGCGAGCGCGCTACTGCTTGAACCACATCCCCAGCCCGAAATTCAGTGTTTTCACTGGGTTTTATGTTGCTTTATATGATGAAAGCTAGATTGATTCTTAAAACCCAGAAGAATTTTATCAGGTTCTAATGGTCTCAATTTCACATAGTGGGTGAAATCATATATGAACAAGTCTTGGTGAAGTTTTCCTTAATATAATTGTGGTTTTTTTTTTTTTTAGATTCTCTTCCAAGATTTGTTATATTCTCTGAATCTGAGATTTTATGCTTTTTGTTATATCTCAGGAATTCTCAGAAATTGCCCCTGTGCATTCAGCTATCCCCTTGTTGATCCACATTCACTTTGTTTTCCATCAAGGGCCACTCCAAACAGTGCTGAAACAGTGTGTGTGTCCATTTGGTTTAGAACTTGTATTTGGAGGTGTAAATTTGAAGACTATGTATGTTTGTGCTTTTGATAGAACTGCAAGATTGCCTTTTAGAGATTTTCTTTTAGGGGCTACGGTTGTGGCTCAGTGGTAGGTAGAGTACTTGCCTAGCATATGTGAGGCCCTGGGTTTGGTCCTCAGCACCACATAAAAATAAATCCAGTCTAGGGACTGGGGTTGTAGCTCAGTGGTAGATCTCTTGCCTTGCATGAAGTGAGGCACTGGGTTCGAATCTCAGTACCACATAAGAATAAATAAATAAAGATATTGTACCCATCTACAACTAAAAAAAAATTTAAAAATAAATCCAATTTAAATATATTTTTTTAAAAAGATTTTCTTTTTTAATATTTATGTTTTAGTTGTAGTTGGACAACTAAATAAATAAGTGAAATAATGCCTTTATTTCACTTATTTATTTTTATGTGGTGCTGCAGATCGAACCCAGGGTCTCTCACGTGCGAGGCGAGTGCTCTACTGCTGAGCCACAACCTCAGCCCCCAAAGATTTTCTTTTAACGTTACAGTGCACTATCTCACACCCATCAGCAACATATGACTATCCTTTTCCTCACATCTCTCCAATCTGATCAGTGTGAGGTGTTGTTTCACTTATTCATGATTAGTGAATTTAGTGTGTTTTCATGATTTTTGCCAATTGAATGTGAATTGCTTGTATTTATTTTCCTTATTAGATTTAATAGATATTTGCAGCATGTTGATAGTGAAATCAACATGTATAAGCATCATATAAATTACTCTTTTAATACTGGTCAAAAAGAGGTATTTTAATTAGTGTTTACTTAATATTACTACTGTACCAACTCAAGGATATATGTTTTTCAAAGAATAGTTTAAAACTAAATTTTTAAAAATTATAGGTAGAATTTTAGGGACCTTACTTTCTGCATTACAAATTTTTGTTTTTTAAAATGGTGATTATATCTTCCTTTTATAATGACAAAAGTCAGAAAAAAAGCAAAATAATGAAAAGCATAGGACAGTGTCTCTTATAATTTCAAATGTTACATTTCATGAATTAAACAATTAGCTGCTTAGGACTTTTACAGTTTATTCATGTGACTTTGTTTACAAATGTTATTAGTATACATTTTTGAGTGGTTTGCCCTACCATAAATGGAGTATAATTTATCTTTTTAAGTTGAAATCACATTTCGTAGCATTCAGAAAATGAACTGTGAAAATTTTAATAAAACAAATTAGACACATAACTTACTTACAATACTATTCTTTAAATACTTGAATGAAGATATTATTTCAAATAATACATAATTAGAAGTAATTTTTCTTTATTTTATGTTTTGTGATTATGCCTTTGGGCTCTTAATGTGTTTTAAGTTAAGAGTGATAATTTTAAAATATTTTTTTATACTCTAGCTATATTTGAAACCATTTCTAAAGAAGATTAATTTGTAATGACTTTTTACATTTTAAAAATGATTTTCCTTTATACTTTTTCTAAGCTAAGTGAATTTTGACCACAGTTTGTTTGTTTTATTTGTGCAAATGCTCAGATATTTTACCACTAGGTCAGTCTTTCTTTGCATTTTCTCCACTAAAGCAAGTGTGAAGTTTCTTAGTTCTTTCTAAAACAGCCAGGGAATTGTTCTTCAGGATTGAACTGTGCTACTCTCCATCATCCTATAGTGTCATTGGTCACGTCCTAGGAAAGCCAGTTCCTAGAATTAGAGTTTAGAGAAAGAGGGAAAGTACCTTAGGGATTGTATTTTGTTCTGATCCTGTAGATACATTAAATAATGCAGCAGAACTAAGAATACAAACAACAATAAGTGTTGATGAGGATGTGGGGAAAAGGGCACACTCTCACATTGCTAGTAGGACTGCAAATTGGTGCAACCAAACTGGAAAACAGTATGGAGATTCCTTGGAAAACAGGGAATGGAACCACCATTGACCCAGCTATCCCACTTCTCAGTTTATACCCAAGGACTTAAAAACAGCATACTATAGGGACACAGTCACATCAATGGTTATAGCAGCACAATTCACAATAGCTAAATTGTGAATCCAACCTAAATACCCTTCCATAGATAAATGGATAAAGAAAATGTGGTGTATATGCACAATGGAATATTACTCGGCATTAAAAGAGAATAAAATCATGGCATTTGCCAGTAAATGTATGGAGTTGTAGAATACCATGCTAAGTAAGCCAATCCCAAAAACCAAATGCCGAATGTTTTCTCTGATATAAGGAGGCTAATTCAAAATGGGGATGGGGGGGGCAAGGGAGGAACAGATGAAATTTAGATAGGGCAAAGGAGAGGGAAGGGAAGGCAGGGGGCATGGGGATAGGAAAGTTGGAATGAGACAGACATCATTACCCTAAGTACGTGTACAGAAACATGAATAGTGAGACTCTACTTTGTGTACAACCAGAGACATGAAAAATTGTACTCTATTTGTGTATTATGAATTGAATTACATTCTGCTGTCATATGTAACAGAATAAATAAAATAAAATAAATTTTAAAAAAAAGAAATGAAAAGAAAAAGAATACAGCAAGAGCTCCTTAAGATTTATAACTGAAGTATAGTTGATAGTGATAATAGACAAGGATTTTCAAAAACTGTTTCACATTCTGTTCTTAAGAAATGTTAGCCCTTTCTAGCTCTCCAGCCATCTTGATGGCTGCTCTAGGTTGGGGGCCGTCCCGCATTTAAGGCAGGAAGATGGTGGCTGCAAAAAAGACGAAAAAGTCCCTGGAGTCGGTAAACTCTTGGCTTCAGCTTGTTATGAAAAGTGGAAAGTATGTACTGGGGTACAAGCAAACTCTGAAGATGATCAGACAGGGCAAAGCGAAATTGGTCATCCTTGCCAACAACTGTCCAGCTTTAAGGAAATCTGAAATAGAGTACTATGCCATGTTGGCCAAAACTGGTGTCCATCACTACAGTGGCAATAATATTGAACTGGGCACAGCATGTGGAAAATACTACAGAGTATGCACACTGTCTATCATTGATCCGGGTGATTCTGATATCATTAGAAGCATGCCAGAACAGACTGGTGAAAAGTAAAACATGTAAAATTTTTCTTTAATAAAACTTGGCAGAGTGTGTTTTAAAAACACTGCAAAAAAAAAAAAAAAAAACGAAAAAAAGGTAACCCCAATTCCAATCCTTTTTTCCTTCCTTTTTTTTTTTTTTTTTAGTTGTCAGTAGAACTTTATTTTTATTTATTTATATGCGGTGCTGAGAATCAAATCCAGGGCCTCAAATTGCTAGGCAAGCACTCTACCACTGAGCCACAACCCCAGCCCACCCATTTCTATTCTTAAGAAATGTTAGCCCTAGGGCTGGGGTTGTGGCTCAGCAGTAGACCGCTGGCCTATTATGAACAAGGCACTGGGTTCTATCCTCAGCACTACACCAAATAAATTAAACACATTGTGTCCAACTACAACTAAAAAAAGAAAAAAAGAAATGTTAGCCCCACTATTTTTGTAATAGTTTAGCAACATTTGTTTATTTGTTTATTTATTTGTTTATTTATTTATTTTGAAGAAACCTTGCTATGTAGGTCCTGTTGAAAGAAGAGCAGTGCTTCTCTGCAATGGCAAGCTAAGGCTCAGTGCAATTCAGCAGATGTTTGGCCTCTCTCTTGTTGAAATGCTGCATGGTAGGTTAAATTCATAACATTCCTCCCTTTACCATCCATTCTGTGGCTTCCACTGGTAACAGAAATGAGGTATACCAATCATTCAGTAATTTGCTAGTTAATTAATATCATTAATTGCCTAGTGTATAGCCAGCCTATTAGAGATAACACATGAAAATATTGGTTCTGCCCTTAGGAAACTTACAGCCTAGCTGGAAAATTTAAATGTACACATGATAAGACTAGAAAAGTTACAAAGCAATGTATAACAATGAAAAGGAAATCACATAGCAACCTCACACCTCACGTATACTTAACTTATTGCACTAAAATGTAAAAATCATAGCATTGCAGAATATTTCTTAAAAGAAGTTGTTCTGATATGGAGCAGGCATGGAGACATGAAGGACACTCTCAGATGGTATTTGATTGAGTAATACCCACATTAATCAGATGTAGAGCATGATTGTTATGCCTCATTTTATTTTTCTTTTAAACATAATCTTAAATGTTTTTAAATAGCCAAATAAAACATCATGTCACAGAATACATATATTTACATTGATTTAAATGTCCCAAGCACAATATAGCAGATTTTATTTGTTCATATAATTTAAGATTTACCTTTGCATAAGCATAGGAGCAAATATTAGTCTGCTAGAACAAAGGTTTAAGAAATTATTCAGACATTTTGATATTAACACTTCTATATTCTTGTTAGGCTTCATTCTTTTAACAGTAGCCAACACACTGAACATAGAATATCATTTTATTTTTTCCCATTTAACATTGTAGTATTAGCATTTTTCTCTTTTTTTGTTTTGGCATTTGCATTTATGATGTAGCTTCATAAATCACTTTTTTTTAAAGTTAGTAGATATTCTTTTTTTTTAATTTTTAAGACAGAATGAGAGTGAGAGGGAGAGAGAGAATTTTAATATTTATTTTTTAGTTTTCGGCAGACACAACATCTTTGTTTGTATGTGGTGCTGAGGATCGAACCCGGGCTGCACGCATGCCAGACGAGCGCGCTACTACTTGAGCCACATCCCCAGCCCCATAAATCACTTTTTTAAAAAATATTTATTTATTTATTAGTTATTGGCGGACACAACATCTTTGTTTGTATGTGGTGCTGGAGGATCGAACCCGGGCCGCACACATGCCAGGCGAGTGCGCTACCGCTTGAGCCACATCCCCAGCCCCCCCATAAATCACTTTTAAAAATTGTTTTGCAGTATTAAGAATTGAACCTAGGGCCTTGCATATGCTAGGTAAGCGCTCTACCACTGAACTACATCCCAGCTCTTTGTTAAAATTTTGGAACAGGGTCTTGCTAAGTTGCCTAGACTTCTCTCCTGTCCCAGTCTTCCAAGTAGCTGGGATTTTGGACATGTATCACCATGTCCAGCTCATGATTCTCATTTTTAATGGATAAGTTAATATTTCATTCTGAGCTGTTCTGTATCTTATTTGTGATGTATTCTTTGACCCAGTTAGGGGGTTTTCAACTTTTCACCATTATAAATAACACTAAGAAAAACCCTCTCTGCATATTTTATGTTATTCTTGGGAGTGTAGATTTTCAGAAGTGAAATCACAGGGTCAAAAAGTAAGACACATTAGACTTAAAGGAACCAGAAAAGGTCCAAGCATGTGTTGTGCTAGTGGTTCCTAGGTTACCCTGAAACAAACCATTCAGGATTATCTGGGCAACTATATTCTAACTAGTCATTTCAATCTCCTTGAATGTCTACAGGTTATTATGGATCTACAAAATAATGAATGTTTCTCCATAGATTAACTGCTTCTCAGATTCAGATAGTTTCTTGAGAAACTGGTGAAGAGCACATAGATAAGGGAGAAAACTTCTACATACAACCCTTAATGTATGTGCATACACAAGCTTGTATATATAGCACTGGGTGATAAATGCCGGGCCTGGGTGAAAGTGTATGTCCTTTAACTCTACCTAAGTGACCAACTTTGGATGACTGTAAGTCACTGACATCCTCTTCCTGCCATGTAACCTGACCCTCAGTCCTTTTAGCCCACCATTCTCTGTAAAATCCTATGATGATAAGGCTTGATATCAACTACTGTATTCCACTAAAAAAAAACCCCACCTTATTTGTTGTCATCATTCTCCTTATAGAATTAGATATCCTAAATTGTCTTTGTTTATTTTACTTCACAGATTCCCATTGGATTCTTCTCTCTGCTGATAGTGAGGGCTTCATCCCATTAACTTTCACAGCCACCCAGGTAATCATCGTGAGAGATGGCATCCTGTCCAGGTCAGATGTCTCCAGGGACCCTCTTTCTCACAGTCAGGATCCTCTTCCTTCACCCGAAGTCTTTGGAGACCTTATTGCCCAGGGTTTACATACCACTGGCTGTTCTAATCATTTAGACGGCATGGCCTGATATCTGTTTGCAGACTATTTGCTGTATAGCTTTTCAAATGAGATCATGACAAGCAAGGTCGTTTTTGTACTGTGGACTCTCACTGGTGAGATTTGTACTGTCACTCAGGTGAGGCATTGCCATGGCTAGCTCTGCCACCTTTCTGCTTTTTCCTCTGGCAGAGGTACTCTGCTTAATAGCAGAGCTTAGTCATTGTTAGATGGCTCAGAAAGTGGTTGTTTATGTATTCATGACTATGGTTTTGCCTAAGGTCAGAATTCCCAGAACAAAACAATACTATGGTGCCAAGTGGATTGTTTTGTGGTTTATCTGAGGCTTTGTGTCCCTTGCCCAAAGGAGTGTTAAAGCTGTCTTAGGAGCACTTACAGTATACTTCAGTGCTGTTACAGTCTTTTTCTTGGTTTAGAGATGAGGGTGAGGAGTGCCACTGGAGAGCAGATGCTCCAATGTGTCCTTTTTAACCTAAACCCAGCAGGAATCAGCAGAGTGCAAAGGAAGCCAAAAACCTGGTTTTTGCTCCCAGGGCTGCCTGCAAAAGGAGGTTATACTGGCATTGGCCTTACCTTCTGGGGTTTAAACCTAACCTTCTTGCTACCCTAAACAATTCTGACTGGCAAAGGCCCAGATACTGCTAACCACTGACCCTAGGCAACTTTTTAATGGAATTTTAAGCAATTTGATTCCTGAAGGGTCCTTCTGAACTTGGGCTGATGCTACTAGTACAGTGCCAAGCACAGGCCAGGCCTAATACTTGTCACCATTCTTTTGTGTTTGTGTACAGGTGTGGTGCTGGGGACCAAACCCAAAGCCTTGAACTTGCTAGGCAAGTCCTATACCACTGAAACACACCCCAGCTCAACTTGTCACTTTGATTTTGATATCTTTCTTTTTTTTCCTTTAAAGTGTTAGAAACCAGCCTAGATGCTGAAAGTATTTCAGACAGTTGAAAATTTCACTGAGAATCTGAGATTGTTCTAAAAAGTACCAGTTTATTAGACTTATAGGTGAAGTACCAGCTTTGTATAGTGGAAAGAGCCTGAATCCCTTTGGGTGGATGTACCACTTTTCACTCCCTTCAGACAGAATCACAGATTGCAGGCATTTCAGCAGAGCACATTGATCAAGGTGTGGCTAGACAGAGCACATCTGCAGATAAGTTGTTTCAGCTAGAGAAGCTCCATTAGCACATACATGGTTTCCCTCTTCTCCTTTAAAATTATTTAGAAAGAAAATATTTTGTGCCCTTGGGGACTCCTGTCTGTCTGTTACCATTTATTTAGATGGAGCTGGACAGGAAAGAAGCAAGGGTCCATTTTGTGGTTCACATGCATTAGATAGCTGCTGGGATAATGGAAGGAGAGGCCACTTGTCTGTAATCAGCAGCCTGAGAATAGTGGCTCAGGACTGACTTGAGGCCTGGCTCCATTTGCAAAGGAGGTATCTGGGGTGTGATGAAATCACAATTATTAGGAAATCTAAAGGAACCCCCTAGATAAGATCAGTATGAATGCCTCAGCCTCAGATGTGTGTTATAATTACCATTTCTTGGCAGAGTCTTCTGGGTCTTCAATAAAGTCACTAATTGTGTTTGTGGCTGTTTTGGTATTTTCTTTGCAGTTGTTAGTGGTATAGAGAAATGTTCTTGATTTTACATATGTGTATGTTGTTTTTGTGTTTCTGCTTCTTGTGAATATAGTCCAGAATATAAATTATATCTTTAAAACATCTGAATCCATGACAAGTCTTATACAAAAGATGTTTCCTTGGCCTCTGCTATTAGTGTAGTCATTGGAACAATAGAAAACAACCCAATATTTGTTGGCTCTGGTGTTAGGGGAAGAAGAGCTAAATCCTTTAAATTGTTTTTGAATATTATATTGAAAATATTTTGCAAGAAAAATGGTATTTACAAATTACATTTTATACCCAAATTTTCTCAATTTTTGAATGGGTATTATTTAATTCTTACAATTATATACAGAATAGGATAACTTATAATTAAAGAGCCCACTACCTAATTTAAGAACCAGGACATTACCAGAAACCATTTAAGCCCCCATATCCTTACTTAATCCTGACTCCATAGTACCAGAGGTAACTAATGTCTTTTGCGTGTGTGTGTGTGTATGTATGTGTGTGTGTGTGTGTGTATGTATGTGGTACTAGGTATTGAACTCAGGGCCTCATTCATGCTACATAAGCACTCCACCACTGAGCTACATACCTAAACTATTTTGAAAAATTAGAGACAAACTCTTGCAAAATTGTCCAGGCTGGCCTTGAAACTGCAATCCTCCTGCTTTAGTCTTTTTTTTTTTTTTTTTTTAAATATTTATTTGTTTTTAGTTTTCGGCGGACACAACATCTTTGTTTGTATGTGGTGCTGAGGATCGAACCCGGGCTGCTCGCATACCATGCGAGCGCGCTAAGGCTTGATCCACATCCCCAGCCCCCTGCTTTAGTCTTTTATTTATTTTTTTCATATATATTTTTTTTTAGTTGTTGATGGACCTTTATTTCATTTACTTACTCAAACCCAGTGGCTCACACATGCGAGGCAAGTGTTCTGCCACTGAGCCACACACCCAGCCCTGCCTTAGTCTTGTGAGTAGCTGGGGTTGCAGGTATGCTTCACTGTGCCCAGCTATAATTAACATCTTGATGGTTGAAATTATCATTTCTTCATTCATAAAAAGGAGTTTCACCACCATATATTATGAATTGGCCTAAAAATATAATGTTTATTTTTCCTTGGCTTTGAGTTTTATACAAATAGTATCATATTGTATGTAGTCTTCTTTGAATTGCCTTTTTTCATTCAACATTATTTCTAAGATTTAGTCTTATGTGTCTGGTATCTTTCACTGTTTAGAGTTGCCACAATTTATCCATTTTCCCATCATGGACATTTGATCCCTGGTTTTATTTTTGAAATTTAAGTCATATTGCTTTGAATATTATTGTAAATATATCCTTAAGCAAGTGTTTGAGGTCTTTCTAGTGTCTTTTATCTAGAAATAGAGTTGGAATCACAAAAGTATGTAAATTTAACTCTGATTTTTTAATTAGAGTTTTTTTAACTTTGTTTTTGTGGTACTAGGGGTTGAACCCAGGGATGCTGTACCACTGAGCTTCATCACCAGCCCTTTCTTATTTTTTTTTTATTTTTTAATAGTTTTTAAATATTAAAAATAGTTGTAGATGGACACAATACCTTTATTTTATTTATTTTTATGTGGTGCTGAGGATCAAACCCAGTACCTCACATGTGCTAGGCAGGTGTTCTATAACTGAGCCACAACTTTAGCCCCTCTGTTTTTCATTTAATACAGGTTCTGACTAAGTTACCCAGGCTGAACTCAATGTGGCTTAATTTTTGATAGCCTAGTAATTTTTTTTAATTTTTAAAAAATATTTATTTTTTAGAAGTAGTGAACACAATACCTTCATTTTATTTATTTTAATGTGGTGCCGAGGATAGAACCCAGTGCCTCGTGCATGCTAGGTGAGCATTCTACCACTGAGCCACAACCCCAGTATAGCCTAGTAATTTTAAATG